CCTATCCCCTGTCATGTTGAACACAAATACCTGTACTTTCTACTTCTTACATGTTGAACTCAAATACCTGTACTTTCTACTTCTTACATGTTGAACTCAAATACCTGTACTTTCTACTTCTTACATGTTGAACACAAATACCTGTACTTTCTACTTCTCTCATTTTCCAAACAGGCTGGTTCCTTTAGTCTGAATGTGTGTTTGGTGGCGTGATCATTATTATTTAGAGTCATTGCGTGCCTATTGATTTGAACACGATCCGTGTATCCATCATTTCCTGGTCTTCTCTAAAGAAGAGGGACCAATGAAAACGTTGTCATGTTGCCGTTGTTCAGCATGGAAACATTCATTAGCTAACAATGACATTATTGTTCTATTAATATAAAGGGAGGTCAGGTACTCTTTAAAACAGCTGCTAGTTATGGGTACTTTTTACTGAAGTACATTTCAAAGCCTCTTTACTTTGACTTGAGTAAAGAAGTTTAGTCAGTACTTCTACTTTCACCAGAGTATTTTTAAACACGAGTATCTGTACTTCTACTTGAGTAAAGGATGTGTGTACTTTTGCCACCTCTGCTGATGATCAGTTTGAAACATAGCTCAATACGTAGACTATACTAAACGGGAAGCAGTGTTCTGACCTAAAAGCAGCGGGGTTTCGTTCTTGCTGTTGGTCGTGTGAGGAGAAGCGCCGTTCTCCAACAACAGCTTCACGTTTTCCAACAAACCATCTCCAACCGCTAAAGTCAGGAAGGTCTCCCCTTCCGAAGTCTTTTCCTCCAGAGTCAGACGGAAAGACGCTGAAGAGCACGAGAAAAAGTTGGTAATTTTAACACTTTATTTAGTCATTAAAAAACCTTCTGTTCAACTCCACCATGTCAGTTCTCGAAGTTCAGCTAAACTTTGAGACAGACATTGACCGTGTAGCTCAGATTTGAACCTTGTATGACCTTTCATCATTTATCCGTCCGCTTTTTTGTTTCTGGAGACTTGTCCTTGATGCCTTTTTCCCTGCAAAGAGGCCACTAAACTTGACCATATACGTTTTTTCAAACCGGACTCTCAGCGGTATTTTTAATATCAAATAATTGTTTCTGTCATAATGTGAATATCTTTCTCAGTTTCTCTCATCAAAATGGTTAAAAAGTTTGTCACAGTTAATCAATGTGAAACCTTATTTTAAAGCCTCATGTAGAAGTTGAACATTGAGGCGGACAATCTGATAATGGAACAAAAGGAATGCAAAAGTATAAATATTAAAGTTCATTTATTAAATAGTATAAAAAATAAATAGATATTTTACATACAGTATACTGATGATTTCTTGTTTGGATTTAACATTTAAAGTATTTAATGCAATAATAATTCAGAAATACATCACCATCCGTTTGGTTTTTTCTCGTCCATTCTCTAAACTGTGAAATAAATTGTCGTAAAAGTGTGGACCTCTTACCCACCGTACAGCACCGTCTCCAGGACCAGAACCAGAGGTTGCACCGCCGCCCAGTGCAGAGGAAACCAGCCGCGCTCATCCGCCTGACTGAAGGATGCTGGGAAATCACAGAGCTGCCGCAGAGCCAACATGTCACCTGCAGAGACATTTCAGAGAATATATTAATATGTTACTTTACTGTATCTCTATCGCACAGCAGAGGTGGGAAGGAGTAGAGTACAAATACTTTGTTACTGTACTTAAGTACATGTTTCTGGTATCAGTACTTTACTCCTCTACTTATTTTTCAGAAGACTTTTTACTTTGACTTCTCACATGTTGAACTCAAATACCTGTACTTTCTACTTCTTACATGTTGAACACAAATACCTGTACTTTCTACTTCTTACATGTTGAACACAAATACCTGTACTTTCTACTTCTTACATGTTGAACTCAAATACCTGTACTTTCTACTTCTCACATGTTGAACTCTAATACCTGTACTTTCTACTTCTTACATGTTGAACACAAATACCTGTACTTTCTACTTCTTACATGTTGAACACAAATACCTGTACTTTCTACTTCTTACATGTTGAACTCAAATACCTGTACTTTCTACTTCTCTCATTTTCCAAACAGGCTGGTTCCTTTAGTCTGAATGTGTGTTTGGTGGCGTGATCATTATTATTTAGAGTCATTGCGTGCCTATTGATTTGAACACGATCCGTGTATCCATCATTTCCTGGTCTTCTCTAAAGAAGAGGGACCAATGAAAACGTTGTCATGTTGCCGTTGGTCAGCATGGAAACATTCATTAGCTAACAATGACATTATTGTTC